AAAGGGGGATAATATATTCATATGGGAAAGATCGCTATTTGGACAAAGCATATGGGAAAGATCGTTCATCTGGCAAAAGGCTGAAAATAAACAGTATTAACAGTGGGTCAATGAATCATTGGAAGCAGCTCCTAATTAAATGAAGAGAATTGAATTTGGGGTCTCACCTTAGCTTCGATCATTTACGGGAGAAGCACATTGAGATTGAAAAGATGAAAAATACAGAGGGAGAAGGGTACAAACACATCAACGAAGTAATCTCCATTAAATCCAACAATGAAGCAATCCCCAACAAAGCTTTCCCGGCATATAATCCAACTACGGCCTGCTTCGAAGCCGCCATTACCAATCTCAATCGATACATCAGATAGCTCAAGAAGCAATCCCCAGCAGAGAATCCAACACAGCGCGCCGCCATCCCCAATCTAGATCGATCCATCAGATAGCTCTATTAGTGAGGGATTCTTAAAGGGGAGAAGCCCACTAATTAATATCCCCTATCTAACGCAGAACTGATTGAGTAGTAAGCAAGGAAATTAAACCTGTGTAGAAGTGAAAGTAAACCTCGGAAAGTACATAGTATGTGATTCGAGGCGTACAATTTATCGAGTAATTAAAATTTGTTACAGTTATTGTAGCTTTGTGTTAGATTAGGTGGGAGTAGTTCGAATGTACGAGAATGTTATTTTTTATTTGTAAGTATCGTGTGTCCATTGGATAGTAAGAGACAAATTATGGATACATGAAACTATTTTTAATGACTATTAACTTATTGATTTAAGAATGAGGTATGAAAAAAGCTTATTGTTATTCTTTGAGAAAGCATATGATAGTGTTAACTATGAACAACTAAATGTGACAGAGTCGATTGATCTGCACACAAAATGGATTTGAATAGATATGTATAATGTTTTCCGAGTTATTCAGGGAGCGAAACATTTGGCTCGTTTGGAGAACAAGATTTGGATCATGGATTTATTGAATCAATAGATTTAGTAAAATGTTATGTTTTTTCGTTACTTTTTTATTGTGGATTGTAGCTTCAGAGATTTTAAATCTCTAAAATCTAGAGATATCAAATCTCTCATAATTAGAGAGATTCTACATCTTGATTTTGGAGATTTTCTTTCTCCTACTATATCTCTTCTTTTTTTCATTTATCCCACTAAATACCCTCACCAATAGATTCTCAATAGTTTTCGAGTCAATCTAATTGTTTTAGTTAAGGATAAATATATCATTTAATAAAAAAATTAAATTTCTTTTTCATTGGATGTTAGCAATCGTAGTTACCAAACAATGAATATTTTCAAATCTTTTTTCAACAATCCAGAGAGTTAAAATCTTTGGATTGTCTAGAATCTATAGATTTAGACTCCAATTCTCCAAACGAGCCCTTAGTAAGCAGATGACTCTAGCACGAGGTTATTCTCTACCCCCTTTCCTCTTAGTTACGACCATGGAGCTTCCATTTAGGATATTAGATGGCACGAGAGGTGTTGCCTTGGTCAAAATTCTTCCCATAAGCGTCCTATCAATTTCGGAGGACCTGTTTCAGCAATAAGATGTGGTCCAAGAAATTTGATATAATAAAATGAAACAAAGTTGAACTATACATTGTCCAATTTAAAATTTTCATATAAAACATAAATGTTGGTGGTATACGTGGTAAATTGACTCAATGGATGTTTAAGGAGTAAACTAAAAAATATTTCATTTCAAAAGTGCCTTTAGAAAAAAAACAAAATTTAATGTAGTGAGAGTAAAAGAACAAGCTTGAAGTTTAAAAAAACTAAGTAATCAAAATTTTGAAGTGGGTGTACTCAAGTGACGTTTTAGTCAAGTTAAATGAAATAATTTTGATCCTGTAATGGGAGTAAATAGGCACACTTTACTTTATATAAAAATATTACAATATTAAAGTGGAGGGACTTAACTAAAATTTTATCAAGTTATTTTAAATAAATTAATGTGAAAATACATATTCAAAAATAAATAATGTAATAAGTGAACATATATGCATATTGTTCTTTGTTCAAGTCAATGATTGTGAACTCTGTGTTTTTAATCCAGCAATGGGGAGGCCACGTCAGACAGGTCACCTCATTCGGCAAAGAGACAGAAACTCATAGGTCATTAGGATGAGAATGGAGTACTTAATAAAATTAGAGTGAACAAATCAAACTTAAAAGTGTGTTTCAATTTTAAATTCGTCAAACTAAAAACTCAAGTAATTATAAATTCCATCCAATTAAGTCTACACATTTCAACGACTCTCACTATTGTTAATGTAGTTAGGGGCGGGCAACGGTAAACGGGTAATTGGGTATACTCGTACCCGTCCCGTTTTTTATGGGTTACGGGTACCCAAATACCCATATTTTTTTTGACGGGATGGGATTTGGGATCAACAATCACTACTTTGAGTACCCGCGGGTTACCCGTTAATACCCGTTTGGGTATTACGAGTACCCGTTATACCCATTAGTCCAAAAAGCCCAAAACTCATTAGTGCAAAGAAGGGATTCGACTGGAAGTTCGGAGTCAAAGAACAAAGAAGGTGTTGCTTCTGTTTTGGAGCCAAAGAACTAAAGAATTTGCTGTTGTTTTGGCGGCTTCTCTTTTACTCTTTTAGTGTTCAGATTATGTGGTTTTGCAGGTTTGTTTTATTGTGTAATTGTTTGTAGGTTTCTCATATTAGTCTTTTAACTCTCCTTAATTGTGTGATTTGTGTGTTCATGATAGTGATGGTGGCAGCTTCTCATTTTAGGTGGGTTTGTTTAATTGCATGTTAAAACTTTTGTAGTTCTTCCACCAATTGAACGGGTATTTACGGGTAGTATAGGTACCCGTTATCCGTCTCGGACGGATAATGGGTACCCGTTAACCCGTACGGGTTTGGGAATGGGATGCAGATTGCTCTCTAAATGGGATTGGGTACCCATTTCAAACGAGACGGATATCCCGTCTCGTCCCGTTGCCCACCCCTAAATGTAGTCTCGCCCACATTAGTTAGGAAGTTGTAGTAATCAAGAGATCATGATTGTTTCCTCGAATTTGGGCTTGTGATGCTTCGTGATTGATAGCTACGGTTCATTTTATGTGAAAAAAGTTTATCATTTTAGTGTCATTGTGGATGATTACTACGCCAACCCTCCTCCCCACCATTCATAATTAATCAGCATTAGAAGAAAATCATGCATCTTTGTAAAAGAATACTTAGAAGTTAAACTCTGCACTTGTTAGGAAATTTAATTTCCTATGGAATGGGCCACCTATCTGTTAAATGGGTTAATGAGAACTAATCTAAATGCGAAGTTTAAAGACTTAACGACGGTTTTATGAGGTAAATGCGAAGATGAAAAGAGATCGGAGAAATTTTGAGCACCCTCAACTAGCAGGGTTGCTCTTTGTACTGAGTATGTGTGGTTGATTAACAACTTAACATGAATACAAATACGAATAGTCACTTAACTGAATGTCAAGACGATTACAAAACTTAACAGTGTTCAGCAACGACTAACAACAACAAGCCAAGACGACACTATTTAAATAAAAATATCACTTAAATAAATAAAAAGAAACAAAATGTTTCTTCCTCTTGAAACTTCTCTTTAACGGTGAATACTTCCAACAATAGGATTGATTTGCAGCTCTTCTTCTTCTTCTTCATTCAACTGACACCTCCCTTCAAGTTTTGAATTATGACAAGATTCCCAACCTGAAAATAAGCTCCTTTAGTCGAATCATGTCCAACCCTTTAGTGATACGTCAGCAAATTGATTAGTCATACTAACATGTTTTAATCTGATCAAGACATCATTAATTCTCTCCCTGGTGACATGCATATCAATTTTGATATGCTTTGTCCTCTCATGGAATATTAGATCCTCAACATTGTGAATTGATGACTTGTTTTCATAGTATATGGTCACTGGAAGTGGATCTTCACACTTAATTTTGCCAACAACTTTCTTCACGACTCAACTTCACACATAGACAATGACACTGCTCTATACTCAGCCTCTTATGAAGTTTTTGAGATTGTGTTTTGCCTCTTTGATTTTCAAAAGGAGAAATGAACTTCTAATAAATGTGCAGTAACCCATGGTTGACTTCATTGTATCAGGGCGGCTTGCCCATGCAGAGCCACAAAATCTTATGAGTTTTAGCTCTGCCTTTTTGTAGAAGTAAATCATGGACTGAGTATGTCAGATTAGGTCTAGTAATGCTATGTAATGTAATGTAATGTAATGTAGGGTACTCACTCGCCTTCTAAACATCTCAGGATCTTCCATTTTAGTTCCTTGAACTACTACTAACTTCACCTTAGGATTTGATAGTGAGAGACTCGTTAAAGATCTATGAATCCAATATCATTCAACATCTCCATAGAGTACTCCTCTGACAAACAAACAAACAATGTTTATGTTGTTCTTGTCACCTCTAGGACAATAAAGTATTTCAGTGTTCCAAGTAGTTTCACCTTAAACTATTTACTTAAATATCTCTTAATATGATCCATATCTTTCTGTGCATCTCCCCTAAAATTATGTCATCCACATTAAACTAGTAGAACCACAATTCTACCATGCTTCCATTTGATGAACAATGAGTAATCAGACACTGATTGTGAAAATCATTCCTTAGCAAGAATATTTTCAACTTGACAAACCATTGCCTCGATTCCTACTTTAAATCACATAGCGACTTCTTCGGTCTATAAGCTAATCTTTTGGAACTGTTAGCTGGTAGATCTATTCCCAAAGGAATTTGCAAATACACTTCTTATGTTAACTCTTCATGCATAAATTCATTGGAGACATCCATCTGCTAAAGAGTTCATCATTTAACTATTGTTGTTGCCAATAAAGCCTTCATATAATTTATCTTAGCTACAAGTGATTAGGTGTAAAGGAAATCAATCCCACACCTGTGTGAGACCTTTGGCAACCAACATCACCTTGTGCTTGTTAATTGTACCATCTGGTTTTATCTTAATCTTAAACACATATTTGTTACCCATCACATGCCATTTGGAGGAAGTGGTACAATGCCCCATGTCTGGTTGGCTTCCAAAGCAGCAATTTTTTCATGAGCTCAACTCTCTGGATCCAGGTTTGAGCTACTGGATTCTGTATGATTCTATGGGCATTGCCCAATCTCGATTAATCTAGTGCCAGACCGGGGTACCCTTTTAGCACCCCGTTTTTCACAAAAAAAAAAACAAATAAATTAATAAGTCCAAAAAGATTACGTGTCCATAAAGTTTTACTTTCTCTCAAAAGTTTTTTCTCTGCCTTCTCTCTAGAAGTTTGAATTTCCAGGCAGCCATGGGGGCTGCCGCCGTCGCTCCTCCGGCGACCGGCGGTGGCCCTCTGCCCCTCTGATTTCCCCATTTCTTATCCTTTGCCTCCTATCTTTTCATCTCTTGTATTTGTTTTTTTCCTGCTCTTTTCCTTCTTTGATTTTGCTTTTTCCTTCCATTCATTAATGCTTTTTCTACCCTTTGTGGTTATCCTTCCTCCCCCTTTGTTGGGTTGAGATTTTGCCCTCTAGTCTCATCTTTCAGATCTGGAGATGTTCCTCTTCTAAGATGCAAAGGAAGCTAGATTTGTTTCTGGCTTGTCTTCTCTTCCTCTCTCCCTTCGTCTACCTCTATGTTTCATCCTGCAGATCTTGATGATTCGAAGATGTAGCCATCGTGCTTGGACTCGGCGTGAAGATCTTGAAGACTGAAGGTCACCCTCTCTGCTTCGACACCATCCGCCCTTTCGTTCGTTAGTTCATCCCATTGGTGCCCGACGATGGAGAGCTATCGGAGTTAGGACCAGTGAAGTGTCGGTAGAGACGTCCCTGCTTCTACTGCCTCCAACTGGGTTGGTGGACGCCAGGCTTTCCTCCTCGTTGCAAGTTTGTTCTATGACCCCGGTCTGTTTGTGGATGGAGGCTTTGTTGCTACCAGCGGCGGTGAGGAGCCAGAGGGGCATTCAATCGACAACTAGGGTTAGGAGCTGGGTTTGGGTCGAGCCTGTGGCTGGGCCCGATTGGGTTTCCATGTTGTTGTTTGGGCTTAGCGATTTGTGCTTGGTTTCTTTCTATGAGTTGTCTCTTGTTTGTACTGTGACTTTTTCCTTTGGGCTTGTCCCATTTGCATACTTAATGAATCCACTTTCAAAAAAAAAAACAAAGAAATTAATAATAAGACAAAAACAAACATTTTTTTTTTTGAGAGGATCATTGGATCCTGAATATTTGTGTTTTTTATTTGCAATCCGATTTCGAGAGACTACACGACATCGATTTGTGCAGATGGGAGGATGTTGTTTCCCCCAATCGATTCGCTGTATTTCGAGGAGTGCACGACTAACTATGTAATATCACCGACGTAGTCAGAAATGTAATTTGGTAGGCGGTCCAATAATACGTGTGGATTGCAACGTAAAATTAATCGTCAAGTTATAATTTAACCGTCAAGTTATAATTTAACCTTTTACGTACAGTAGTGCTAGCTAGTAAAATATTTGATTGGATTACCACTTCAATGGTCGAAGAAGGAAGGTGGCGCGGTCTAGGATAAATTTGCAGCTCGTCGAATATGTGTTCATATTCTTCGTTATGATATGTATAGGCTTTGTTACAGCAGAAAGCTATGGCTTTCCAGCGAAACCACCTGTGAACTCATCTTAAAACGCCTCTTTATACACAAGGTGAATATGGGCGCTTACATATACAGTCATTTTAGGCCAAATACCTCAAGCCAAAATCAAGATTCCCAATCCTTGAAGAAATCACATATAAAGTTTGTAGTTCTGTACAGAGCCCCAAACTTCCTGACACAGAAAACTTGTTCAGAAAACGCCGCCACGAAAAGGACCCTACTTCCATATACCTGCTGCCACATTGCAAGTCCCGCCTCCTTGACTAAGCAGGCAGTCCTTCATCCGTTTGAAACCCTGCAGCTCTTCCAATGCATCAGCCGTCGTCTTCGATGCAACCAGAACAGAATGCGAGGAATCAAGAGGGTGTTCTGCTCGAATGCTGGACACATGAGTCGAATCGGCCGTGCTAGTGGAGAGTTCCTGGCGTAAAGGTGGAGCTTTCTTCAGCATATGGACAAGGGCACCTACTGCGGCATCTTGTGATTTCTTGATGGGGAAGGTTCCTCCAGCTTGGGGATCCATCTGGTCTCCAATATGACTTTTTTTATCAAAAGATTCTGGCCTGGAAGAAAGAAAAGTAGGATGGATGAGAAGTTTATGTTTGAAGGAGAAAACAACGGAATAATGTTGTTCATAAAAAAATTTAGGGGAGGGTTTGGATGAAGAATTGGAAAATAATGGATTCTACAAGATGGCATTGACACCCCTTTTTTGCTGTTCCGTTAAAAATCAAGTCCTAAATTCCATTGACGCACTAAGCGTATCTAAATACCAAAACTGGGTCCTAGGATTGTTCAACGACCACCTTAATGAATCCCAAGCAACAACCAGTACATACTCTTGTTACCTATCTCATTCAGAGTAACAAAGCTGCTAGCGAATGTCTGAGATTTGGTCACTTCTACGTATATATACTTGGCGTGCAGAGATTTGAATGTTTAATTACATCTAATCATAATGCCTTCAACGACAACAGTTAAAGTATTTCCAGTTGGATGTAAAGAAGGTGAGCTTGAACATGTACCTGCTTCCATGATACATCGGATCATCATCCTCCACATCAAAATGACAAGGAAAATCTGAATCATCGAAGTCATCAAGAAAAGATCTGCTGGAACTTCTAGAAATCGAACACTGCGAAGAATTGACTGCAGATATCTTTGTCCCGTAATGCTTCTTAGAATCATCTTTCACGATCAACTACACATAAACAAGAAAAGCAATCCCAAATCAATGCAAGTGCAAACCGAATCAAATCTTTTATATAAGCAAACAGAATACCTTTTCAACCGATACACCAGTGTTAGGCAAACCTGTACTCATATCTAATTTAGAACCACGTGATGGTCTGTTGTTATCATTCATCGGAAGAGATGGCTGTAGATTGAGCTTTGGTATGCAGACAGGTGCACTCTCGGTTCGTAACAGTGCTGCATTCGAAAGATGATTCCCATGCATGTAGACAGGTGGCGATGGGGAAGGCGATGGTGTAAAGTTAGGAGAAGGATAGTACTCATCATAACTGTTGTTGGTCTTGTGAACTGATGAACTGTCTGGATGCTGAGGAGGCAAGTTCACGGGTCCAAACTGAAGGGCATTTGCAGCTGGTGGTTCTGAATGAGTTGGTGAAGGAGAGAAATAAGCAGGTGGTGAAGCCCTATACCGGTCATAACTCCAGCTATGCCTCCTGGAGAATGGCAGAGATGACGGAGAGGACACAGGAAGAGAAGTAAACCTCTTCAGCGGGTCAGCCAATGGACTTCCAACATAATCAGGGATGAACTGAGGAGACATAGGAGTGGACGACTCAGAACTAGCATCAGATACTGATGAATGATACAAAACCGAAAGGCAAAGCCTTCCAGAAGAAGTGTCCACAGGGGTGAAACTAAATCGCTGCATTTCAGATTCTTCTTTGCGTGTGAAGGGCTCAACGAAGGATAATAGCCTATGAGTGAGAGTAAAAGGACGAAGCTTCCCGGAGCAATTGAGGTCCCGGAAGATCTTGTAAGCAGGCAGAAGCCTAGCAGTAGCATACAAAGACCTCAAGAGTAGTATCGATTTCTTGTACAGCGTATGCAGTACATTGCTCGACGTTCTGCGACTGGTTGAACCTTTTTCCCTTGGCTTTCTAGTGTCATACTGAACTATCCACCTCTCTATAATCTTCTCCTCACTTCCAGACAAGACCTCCTCATGATCAGAACTGTAAGCATTACTACTCTCCTTTAATGACTGAGTTCTACTAAGCCCTCTCTTCACCAAGATCACATCAACCACCACCGGCTCGAAATTGCTCTGGCGCCAGAGATCGAGATTCTCGAGCGCAGCAGGGCACTCACCTAGAGCTAAGTTGAACCATTTGTCCCTCGGCCTCACACTCGACGACGAGGAAGACGACGAAGAAGGAGACGATAGAGCTTGTTCCCCACTGAAGTTACGGGAAGACATTAAGGGAGACCTACACTCGAGTATTATGTGTAGACTCTTGGCAAAAAACTCGGTGATTATCTGCTCCGTCTTGGCAGATTCTGAGTGAGTACTGTTCCCGTGAGATGATGCCATTATCTCAACAACCGGTAATCGAAACTACCTTCCCTTACAAAAACTACCTCCAAAGGAGAGTTCACTGCGAAAGCAACAAGGGATAACAACGACGTTCAAATTCCCGAAAACCCATTATTAGAAACTCAAAGGTGAACTCGATTCAGCTTACATAAGTAGCCAAATCCCAAAAACCTCGAACATCCGTATCTAAATAGCATCATCAACTAAACAACAAACAAACAAACAAAACGATCGAACAAACTTTACTCATCCCTCGTTCAGATACAAACAAACCCACAAAGCTGGGACATGGGATTAAAGTAATCATCCACAGAAACCCATGAAAGGTGGGGAAAGGTAGCAGCTTTTTTGAGTACTCACCGAAGCTTCGCCGGAATCCCAGAAGGAGGAGAAGAGAAAGGGGGGAATCGAGTCCATGGATGGGCCGTCGCGATTTTCCGCGATTATAATGGGATTTTTCTGGTGGAGAGAAATTTTGGGGCGGAAGAAGATATGGGAAATTCGCCGCTGGAGCGGCCTTATCGACTTGTTGCGGCTTTTTGGTTTTCTGCTGGCAGGCAATCGAAGCCAGCGACTGATTCAGCTTCTTCCTCGTCAAGGAAACTTAGGTGGGCCCCGGTCTTGGTCTGATTGTCGGACCCACTTCCATAAATAGGTCTTTGGATCCGTCTTGGGCCGACCGGCCCAATATGCTCTGTGTAGCCGAGCTTATAAATTGTTAAACCTTGCAAAACTCTATTGGCTTGGTTTGGGCTAGCAAAATTGAGCCCAAGATTTGAGTGAGCCATGACAAATTGAAAATGTTTCCCGTATATATATGGCCATTGTGAATGTCTACTAGTTTATGGCTCTAGTCATTTAGATTGTTGTCACTTTCAAAAAGGTTTCAAATTATTGGAAGTAGGGAGATATATTCTTACCCAAACATATACATTTTATCAACACAACAAATATTTACTGGAACACAAACATGTTTCTCCACTATTTATGTCCAAATGGCTACATACTTGTTACACCTACAAATAATGTAACGTAAAATGAATGATATAGTTCGTACACATATACTTATAGCTTTTCTAATCTAACAACTCGAGTTGTTGGAATGTATAGATTCTCAACATAGTATCCAAGTTTTTTAACGAACAAGGGTTCGGTCTAGTGGTAAAACCACTAACCTTGAATCTGGAGGTCCAAGGTTCGAATACTTTAAGTAGTATATAATCACACAAAAATAACATATATCAACCTTAACAGGGGAAAATATTTTATCCGGGCTTTTGACTAGAATGTTTCATGTTCGAAGACCCCACAACCTCCAATATGGCAAATATTAGCAAATGTTCTAAGTAAAAGGTTACTTTGGTGGGCGGGCGTTTACAAACTTTACGTTCATGAAATAACTTTCCTCGCGATGAAGAGGGAATATAAAACAATTAGGGTTAATTACATGTTGGTCACTGAGATTACAAAAAAAGTTCATGTTTGGTCACCCAAAATATTTAAATCTATTGATGGTCATTTAGTTTAGCAAAACCGTCCACGTTTGGTCACTCTCCGTTAGTCGCCGTCCATATCCGTCAATGAAGTCCGTAAAGTGATGACATAATCTTCTAATCAACCTTATTTAACCCGAAAATAATGAGACCCGACCCGCCACGACACCGAGATCCGCCAGATCATCTGGACCAACCCAACACTCTAACCAGACCTGACCCGAACTTTGAACCAACCCACGCAAATAAAATCCCTAATTCCAAAACCATATCAGATCTCCACCTTCCCCCTTCTTCGTGCGTCTCCTTCTGCCTCCTTCCCTCCCTCCTTATCCCATTATCACATTCACAGGCGATGCAGGAGCTTCGTCGATAATGGAGAATAGCAGAGGGAGCAGTACATGAGATCGAAGTCGTTTCCAAAGAAGACAACAACTGCAATTTTCATGTTGCTCCCCTTTCGTCGTCATCCTCCAATCCACCACCACCATTGTTGGAGCCGTAATACTCTACCCTAGCAGCAACTGGAATCAAGAATTAAAATCGGGTACTCAGATTCTGAGATAGCGAGTGCGAAAAGGTAAGAACAGTCACACTGGGCAATTGACTGAGAAGAGAAAGGGAAGGCGGGCGATTTGTTGGGTCGGGCTCCGAGCAGACCCATTTTCTACCTTGCGCTCTAAGTTCTGTCTGATTTTGTGGAATCATGGCGGCTGCGATGGTGTAGTCACTAGTCAGCTCTCTCCGGTGGTCGTAGCAGGAGTCAACACAAAATCTCGTATCAAGTTCAAAGGTCGGATCGGGTTTGGTTAGAGGTTTGGGTTGGTTCAGATGAGTTGTCGGGTCTCAGTGCCATGACGGGTCGGGTCTCACCATTTTCTGGTTGAATAAGGCTGATTAGACAATTTCGTTGCCACGTCATGACTTAACGGACTCCGTTGACGGAGATGGATAGTGACTAACGGAGAGTGACCAAACGTGAACGGTTTTACTAAACTAAAGGAACATCAATGGATTTAAATATTTCGGATGACCAAACATGAACATTTTTTATCATCTCAGTGACCAATCATATAAGTTCTGAAGGAGTTCTGAACCCAGTTTGATGTGCTGAACCCGGTTTGATGAAAGAAGGAGGAGAACTGGCGCGAAGATGTTTGAAGTTTGAATAACTGTCTTAAGTGGAAGCGGCGTCGTTTGGCTAATTTCAGTCTGGTCATCTAAGTTTAAGTTAAGAGTCAGTTTTAGTGTTTAGTGTCTGTGTCTTTCTGTTTAAGGAAGCAAAGTTGGTTAGCTTATTTGTAGGTTAGTGGAGTAGATCATGGCTAGTGGGAAGCCAGGATTGTAGGTTGGAAACGTTGTACATATAGTTTGCAGTCTCCTCATTAATAAAGTTGTCAGTTTCCATTCCAATTGAGTTTACATTGTGGTATCAGAGCTCAAGGTAAACTGTAACCAGTTGTGTGCAAGAGCTTTCAAGCTCGTTCAGTTGCTGTCAAGCACAAGAAGATCAGAGAGTGAGAGAAATCATTTCTTTCTGGGTTGGGAAACACGAGAGGGAAGGCATATGTTCAGGGTGAGAGAAAAGGCAGGATGAGTGAAGGTGGTTTTGGCCAAGCTTGTATCCCCAAGTTTGATGGAGACTATGAGCACTGGAGCATGCTCATGGAGAATTTGTTGTGATCCAAGGAGTACTAGCGATTTGTGTCCACTGGAGTTCAGGAACCTGCTGAGGGAACTGAGGTCACTACAGAACAAGCCAAGATCCTAGAAGATCTTCGACTGAAGGATCTTAAAGCCAAAAACTACCTGTTCAATTCTATTGACAAAAGTATTCTGAAGACAATCACTAACAAAGGTATCTCTAAAGCTCTATGGGATTCTATGAAAAAGAAATATCAAGGCAATGCACGAGTCCAAAAGGCTCAGTTGCAAAGCCTCAGAAGCAGCTTTGAGATTCTAGAAATGAAAGAGGGAGAGTCTGTGTCAGATTACTTTGGTAGAGTTATGGAAGTGGCTAACTCTATGAGAAACTGTGGGGAATCCATGCCTGATGAAAAGATCGTTGAGAAGATCCTGAGAACTCTAACTGAGCGTTTCAATTATGTTGTTTGTTCAATCGAAGAATCAAAGGACATTGAACAACTCACAGTAGATGCTCTTCAGAGTTCTTTGCTAGTTCATGAGCAGAAATTTACCAAGAGGACTGTTGTGGTAGAGGATCAGGTGTTGAAAGCCTCATATGAACAAGGCGGCAGAGCTGGAAGAGGCCTAGGAAGGGGCTTCTATGCTCGAGGAAGAGGAAGATCTGGAAGGGGCTGGAGCAGAGAAACAATTGAGTGTTTCAAAAGCCATAAACTGGGACACTACAGAAGTGAGTGTCCTGAGTGGAACAACCAGCAGGCTCATTTCACATCCTCTGTGGACATGAAAGATGATGTTCTGTTGATGGCCTGGGTGGAGGAAGAAGAAATGGAGGAAGTAGAACCAGTTGAGGATACTGAGATCTCACTAGTTGTGACAGTAGCTGCTAGCAACATGATGGCTCTTCTAGACACTCAACAGGATGCCAATCATGAGGGCTGGTGGTTCCTTGATTCTGGATGTAGCAATCATATGACAGGAAACAAGGATTGGTTCATTTCCATGGAGCCTGCAGGGTCTGGTGTGGTGAAACTTGGAGATGGAACTAGGCTGGGAGTTAAAGGAAGAGGAACTATCAAAGTCAAGACTGATCTGCAGACTCTGGTTATTCAGGACACATTCTATGTGCCTGGTTTGAAAACAAACCTACTCAGCATGGGACAGTTGCAAGAGAAAGGATTGGAGTTTCTACTCAAAGGAAACACATGCAGGGTGTTTCATGAGACCAAAGGACTACTGATGAAAGTCCATATGAAGACTAATAGAATGTTTGTGTTGCATTGTGAACTGCCAGTAGAACAAATCATTCAGTGTTTGCAAGTTACTGAAGCTGATATTGCCAAGCTGAATCTTTGGCATAGAAGGTTTGGACATCTCAATCAACAAGGATTGATTGGGCTGAAGAAAAAGGAAATGGTTACAGGACTTCCAGTTCTTAAAGAATCATCTGGAATTTGTTCCACTTGCCTGGCTGGGAAGCAACACAGAAAACCCTTTCCTAAGAAAAGCCAGTGGAGAGCCTCTCACAAGCTACAACTTGTTCATGCTGACTTGTGTGGTCCTATCACACCTGTCTCCAATGGAGGAAAGAGGTATGTCTTCACACTGATTGATGACTTCAGTAGGAAGCTCTGGGTGCTTTTCCTCACTCACAAATCTGAAGCCTTAAGTGTTTTCAAGAAGTTTAAGGCTCAAATTGAAAAAGAATCCAGGACTGAAATATGTTGTTTGAGAACTGATAGAGGAGGTGAGTTCATGTTAACTGAGTTCAAAGATGTTTGTGATGAAGCTGGGATTAGGAGACAACTTACTGCAGCCTTAACTCCACAACAAAATGGAGTGGCTGAGAGGAAAAATCGAACAATAATGAACATGGTGAGATGTATGCTAGCGGATACTAAGGTGCCAACAGGTTTCTGGCCTGAAGCTGTACTATGGACATCTCATGTACTCAACAGAAGTCCCACTGTGGCTCATAAGAACAAAACACCTCAGGAGTTGTGGACAGGTCATCCTCCTTCAGTAGACCATTTTAGGGTGTTTGGATGTATTGGACATGTTCATGTCCCAGATCAGCAAAGGAAAAAGCTTGATAACAAAAGCTTTCCTTGTATTTTCCTAGGAGTATCGACTGAGTCCAAGGCATACAAGCTATACAATCCAAATACCAAGAAAATAGTGGTCAGCAGAGATGTGGAATTTGATGAAGATCAAGGCTGGAGCTGGAACTCAGAAATTCAACCTGTTCTAACAAGGATCTCTTGTGAGGGAAGTGAAGACACCTTGTTTGATTCTGATGCTGAGGATCAAGAGGGAGAAGATAGTGATCCTACTGCAGCAACTGTGCCTCCTGATCCCACTACAACAGATCGTCCAAAAACTCCAAATGCACCAGAAACAGTGGTAGGAGAGGATGAAGAGGAGGAGGAGGGTAATACTGATGTGCTAGGACTCACTTCTGGCACTGATCTTGGTCCTAGAATCAGGAAGCCTCCTGCACATCTAGCCAGCTATGACCTGAACTTCATGACAGACATAGAATGGTGTGCCATGGTAGCATTGTCAGGTGATCCTCTTATTTATGAAGAAGCTGCCATAGATGAAGAGTGGAATGCAGCAATGAGGTCAGAGATGGTATCAATCAAGAAAAATGATACCTGAGTTCTCACTACACTGCCTGCTGGTGCAAGAGTCATTGGACTCAAATGGGTCTACAAAACCAAACTAAGGGAAGATGGTACAGTAGACAAGAAAAAGGCAAGAGTGATGGCCAAGGGATACTCTCAACAACATGGCATTGATTATACAGAGGTGTTTGCTCCAGTGGCCAGATGGGATACCATCAGAACCTTTCTAGCCCTGGCTGCTGCTCATGGTTGGCCAGTTTATCAACTGGATGTGAAGAGTGCCTTTCTTCATGGTACTCTTTCTGAAGAAGTTTATGTAGAGCAACCACAAGAGTTTGTGGTTATTGGGGAGGAAAGCAAAGTATATAGATTGAAGTAAGCTCTCTATGGTTTGAAGCAAGCTCCCAGAGCTTGGTACAGCAGGATATAAGGATATTTTGTTACTGCAGGCTTTGAGAAATGTCCCTATGAGCACACTTTATTTGTCAAAAGGGCTGGCTCTAGTATTCTGGTGGTGAGCTTGTATGTTGATGATGTCATGTATGCAGGTAATGATCCTGGCATGATTGAGGAGGTTAAGAAATCCATGGAAGCTAAGTTTGAGATGTCTAATCTAGAGCAAATGAGGTACTTTCTTGGGGTTGAGGTGACACAAACCAGTTTTGGAATATTCATTTCTCAACAGAAATATGGCAGGGAGGTACTGGAACGATTCAGGCTACTAGACTGCAACCATGTGAAGAATCCATTGTCACCTGGAGTGAAAATGACAAAAGCAGGAGATGGAGTATGGGTGAATGCAACTGAGTACAAGCAATTGATAGGTAGCTTGCTGTATATCATAGCAACCAGACTTGATATCATGTACTCAGTATGTTTACTCAGTAGATACATGGAAGCACCCACCAGAGAACACATGCTAGCTGCGAAGAGGATACTGATATATTTGAAAGGAACCCTCAGTCATGGGATTTGGTACAAAAAGGAAAGTGGGGAGGATTGTTTGGAAGGGTTTACTGACAGTGACTATGCAGGAGATGTTGATGATCGAAAAAGCACGAGTGGATACATTTTCTTCTTGGCAGGAGCAGCTGTGTCATGGGCCTCCAAGAAACAACAGTCGTCACTTTGTCTACAACAGAAGCAGAATTTGTAGCAGCCTCCTATCGTGCTACTCAATGCGTGTGGTTGAGGAGGATATTGGATCGAATGGGATGGAGAAGCAGTGTTGAGAAGGGAACCAAAATTTACTGTGATAACAGTTCAGCGATAAAGCTTTCTAGGAATCCAGTTTTCCATGGCAGATCAAAACACATTGATGTAAGATACCACTTCCTCAGAGATCTAGCAAATGAAGGAGTGGTGGAGCTGGAGTATGTAAGAACTGGTGAGCAAGTGGCTGATGTGATGACGAAGGCTTTGAAGCTGGAAGTGTTTCAACTTATGCGAGAAAGAATGGGAATCTGTGATGCTGATGAAGTCTCTAAAGAAGAAGGTATTGAACTGAAGAAGAAGAAAAAAGAAGAGTCTTTAGTTCAGGGGAGGATGTTAGAAGGAGTTCTGAACCCGGTTTGATGTGCTGAACCCGGTTTGATGAAAGAAGGAGGAGAACTGGCGCGAAGATGTTTGAAGTTTGAATAACTGTCTTAAGTGGAAGCGGCGTCGTTTGGCTAATTTCAGTCTGGTCATCTAAGTTTAAGTTAAGAGTCAGTTTGAGTGTTTAGTGTCTGTGTCTTTCTGTTTAAGGAAGCAAAGTTGGTTAGCTTATTTGTAGGTTAGTGGAGTAGATCATGGCTAGTGGGAAGCCAGGATTGTAGGTTGGAAACGTTGTACATATAGTTTGCAGTCTCCTCATTAATAAAGTTGTCAGTTTCCATTCCAATTGAGTTTACGCCATGAGTGATCTCGTAGCAAGAAGTTTAATTATGTTGGAATCAAAATGGAATATGCGTAGCTTAATATTTGATTTAGCCAAGAACATTATATATGTTATAAACCAACTTGATACAATAATTTAAATTGTTAAAAGAGATTCATGTATAAATTTTAACCACCTGCTTACATTTTTTTTTGCATCAAGGGAGGCTAAACAGCCACAGAAGCAGAGACAAAACTAGGGGGGAAGGGGGAAGATTACATAACAGGAGAGGTTTCAGTGGTATCCACAACTTCTCTGGGGAAGGATTGCCCTCGAGCATCGTCGCCCAGAATGTGCCGTAGCCCCTGTGGAGGTAAGTCAAGTTCATTCTTACCATAGGGATAGACGAGACTGTGCTTCGAGAGCCAGTCTGCGACTCTATTCCCTTCACGGTAAGTATGAACTATCCTCACCACCCAATCACGAGCAACTTTTCGTCTAATCGCCGCCAACAGAGTCGCGTGCGGGTGCACCGGGTCGTTTCGCTTCTCTATGAGTTGAATAGCCATCTGAGAGTCAGATTCCAGGATGACAGCCCTGCTGCCCTCGTCTCCCACGCCATATCCAAACCATGGTAGATTCCCCACAGCTCCGCTTGAACAGCTGAACAAGTTCCCAAATTAGCAACAAAACCTTTGATCCAATCCCCATGGTGATTCCGCAGGACCCCTCCCGCGCCTGTCGGCCCCTGTGTTCCGTTCGCAGCGCCATCAACATTTACCTTGATCCAGCCTGCAGGGGGAGGAAACCAACTGATTTCCCGAGACACTCGCTGGACAGCATTGGACCGCCGGCCAAGAATGCTCTGAGGAGCCACCCACGCTTTATACCACAGCGTAGCTTTGATCTTGGTGGCCTGGGTCAGCGAAGGCGGGGAGAGGGTCTTCCCAATTCCCTTGAACACTCCTTCATTTCTGTTCTTCCAGAGATTCCAACTGGCTATACTGAAGAAAGCATTCCAAGGGATCTCGCTAGTCCACGTGGCCTCAACCTGCAAATTTTTTTCAATCCAAGCTTTCGGCTGCAGGGTGAAGAACTCCTGTTGGTTCTCTGGGGGTACCGTGCGTGCCCAAAGGAAGGCCGCGGTAGGGCAGTCTCTGAGGATATGGATTGTGGTCTCTTCTAGTGTAGCGCATCTGTAGCAGCAGGGTGAGGAGGCGATCTTTCTCTTAACAAGCTGTACGTTACTGCTGATTTTGTCGTGTGCCACGACCCACATGAAACACCGCACTCTCTCCGGCACCGGGAGCTTCCATATGTTTTTCCACATCTGAGCTGTCTCGCTGGGGACTCTAGGCTGCATTAGCTGAAAAGCACTCTTGGTTGAGAAGCGGCCGTCTGAGGTGGGCTGCCAGAAAAGCACATCATCCTCCCCTGCCAGAGGGTCCACTGCCTTCGCTGTGATTTGATGAGTCACAGCGTCCGGAAGAAAGCCCTCAAACTTTTCGGTGAGCCAGGTCCCGTCCTCATCAACAAAGTCTGCCACCATGCCGTCTTTTATATCTTCCGGAACTGGGCCAGTGGTCAACTCGATCAAAGGAACCTGCGAGATCCAAACATCCAACCAAAAACGGGTTAGGTTGCCTCTATGAATATTCCAGGCAGAGCCAACTTTCAGCAATTCTCTGGTTTTAGAGACGCTATTCCAGGTGAAGGAACTTCCCTTTATGGGTTTGATGATGTCGAGGTTTTCCCTGTTCTTCCCGTACTTGCCACGCATCAGCTGAGCCCAGAGCGTCTCTTTCTCCTTCATCAGCCGCCATCCACACTTGGCAAGCATTGCCAGGTTGACCGATCTTGAGGGCCGGATACCCAGACCTCCTTGGTCCTTTGGCAGGGTCAAAGTTTGCCAGCCCACCAAATGTAACTTTCTTCTCTCTTCCGAATCGCCCCAGATGAAGCTGCGATTTATCTTATCCAGGTCCTTGCAAACAGTTTTTGGCATGAGATCCACCTGCATAGGATAAACGGGAATAGACGCAGCAATTGATTTAACAAGAGTAATGCGAGAGGCAAGGGAAAGATGCCTAGCTTTCCAAGGAGCGAGTTTCTTCTGAATCCTGAGGGCGAGGTCTTGGTATCTGCCTCGCGTCACTCTGCCATGGATGGCCATTACTCCCAAATATCTGCCTAGGTCCACCGTCAGCGGGATCCCCACACGATCGCTTAGGGCCCTAGCACACCTTCTGCGAATGTTAGCCGACACGAAGATAGCCGATTTCTGGTAGTTCACCCGCTATCCCGAGCTGCTGCAAAACTCATCCAGGCATTGCTTGATTATCCTCACTTGGGTTCCCCCTGCTTCTGCAAACAAAACCAGATCATCTGCAAAAAAGAGATGAGAAATGAGCGGGCCGTCTCTGGACAGCTTAAGAGGCTTCCAAAGGTTGTCTCGAATAGCCTGGTCAATCCTGTGAGATAATCGTTCCATACAGAGCACAAAGAGATAAGGGGATAAGGGATCTCCCTGACGAACTCCTCTGGTAGGAATAATGGTTTGAGAGAGGTCGCCATTCCAGAGCAGCCGCATCCTGTTGTTTTCGACGCAGTACATAATGCAGCTGATCCACGAGCTAGGGAGGCCAATCTCTTTGAGGGTGTCGCGAAGGAAGTCCCACCGGAGACGATCATATGCTTTCTCTAGGTCGATCTTCAACACCATTCCTCCCTTCTTCCCCTTCTTCTTTTTCAGGATATGGAGGACCTCCTGGAGAACAATGATGTTATCGGTGGTCTGCCGCCCGGGGATGAAACTACTCTGACGGGGGGACACCAACTTCCTCATTATGGGTTTCAGCCGGTTGGTAATTGCCTTGGTGATAGCTTTCAAACAGACATTGTTGAGGGAGATTGGTCTGAGTTGAGAGGCCATCTCCGGGTGCTCAACTTTCGGGATGAGGATAACCGTTGAGTCGGTTATGTGCTCCGGAAGCCCTCCTGCATGAAAGAAATCCAAAGCTAAATTAATCAAGGATTTTCCTACCACCCTCCAAGCCCGTTGGTAGAAAGCAGCGTGGAAACCGTCAGGGCCAGGGGCTTGAAACGGCTTCATCTCATGGATAGCACGGTGAATGTCTTCCGCTCTGAAAGGTCTCAGAAGAGCCACCATCTCCTCCTGCTCCAAACGGGGGAAGGCCATCTTTGGCATGAGGTCCTGGTAAATATCATTTTCTTGCAAATACAAGGCAGCAAAAAACTCAAAAACCAGCACTGCCAACTCCTGAGGGTCAGTGATCCACGCCCCATCAGCCCCCTTGAGACTGTCGATCTTGTTTCTACGCCTGCGGATGGCTGTCTGGTTATGGAAGTAGCTAGTGTTACGCTCTCCCCGTTGGACCCAGCTTTCCCTCGATCGCTGAAACCAGTAAAGCTCCTCTTGTTCTAGCACCTGGTCCAGCTCCTTCTCAAGTTTGACCTGCAGCTTATAGAGGCCTGGGGAGAAAGACATGGCGACCCTCTCTTGGATTCCTTGGATGCGAGCCATCAGGCGCCGTTTCTTATAGAAAATGTTGCCGAAGGTATCTTTGTTCCACTGGTTGAGGTTGGACGCCAGTTTCTCCAAGGCCACTGGGAGAGGCGCTTGGTGATCCCATTCACCTGCAATCAGATTGTCAAAAGAATCACTAGTTAACCATGCCGCTTCAAAACGAAAGGGACGGGAGATTGAGGGGTTAACTCCCTGATTTCCGACTGTGGTAAGGATAGGATGGTGATCTGAGTGGATGCGGGGGAGGTGGGTGACAGTGGTGTCCGGGAAAGTCGCGTTCCAGAGGGAGTTGCATAGGCTTCGGTCGATCCGACTAGCTTTGAAGGTGCTGGCCGTCTCTCCTCTAGTCCACGTGAACCTAGGCCCTGAGAAACCCAGATCGATCAGTTCCGCTTGGTTGATCCTGTCGTTGAATACTTTGCACCTGTAAAGCGTGGACGAGGAGGAAGGGCCAGATTTCTCTTCCGGGGCTAAGATAGCGTTGAAATCACCAGAAAGCAGCCACGGCAAGTCGTTAGAGAGGCTTGTGCGGTGGAGAGTTTGCCACAAGCTGCGTTGTTGGTACTGGCGAGGGCTCGCATAAACAGCTGTAAACAGCCATTTTGGATCGGTTCCAGCCGAGACTATGACCGACAGGTGCTGGGAACACGCCGAAAGGACTTGAAGTTGGAAATTGGCAGCATTCCAGCAAAGCCAGATGCCTCCTTTCCTCCCATCCGCTTCCACCCGCATGATGTTCGAGAAACCTAGCCGCTCGCAGATTTTGTTGGCCGAGACCCCGCTGACCTGCGGTTCCAAAATACAAAGAAAGTCAGGTTTGCAGTTCTTGACAATAAGCTTGAGAGCCCTGGCAGAGCCCGGATTACCCGCGCCACCAATGTTCCAAGCAAGGATTTTAATATTCAGTAATTGATTAAAAGACATGATAACAAATAGACTGAGAGGGAGAGGGAAGAAAAGAAAGCTAAGGTCGCAGCGAAGTCGCCGCTCCCAAAGGATCTGGGTTCTCGTCGGCGGTCGTCGCTTCGCCGCCACCAACTCGTTTCGGAGGGGTCGTCGCCGTCTCCGTGCATTTGGTAGTTCCGGTCCAAGCCTCGATTTCTTGGAGAGTAAGAGTGGCGAGTTTGGCTCTCACTTTGCTCTTCCTGTCCTTAACTGGCGTCCAGATTTGGAGGGCCTTGGCTGGGAAAGGTCTCGGGGATTTGCTTGGAGACTTGAGTGATTTCCGATGCTTCTTCTGGCTCTTGGTGCGCGCGGCCGCTGATGGATTCTCCATCGTTTGCTGTCTGCCATCGGCTGAATCAGGAGGTGAAATGTTGGCCACTTGGATGGACACCCCCCCAGAATTGGGGATCGAAGTTAGTGATGGGGATTCAGGCTTCATCTGGGTTGTGGGCTGGCTCTCTTCTCCTGGCCCTGCACTTGGGATATTCTTGGTCTTGGCATTTGATGGGCCCCCAGTTTGTAAACCCTCTTGTGATATATTTCCATTGGTCTTGGTCTTGGAACTTGATGGGCCCCCAGACTTGGCCCGTTGGAGTTGGGGAGCCGGCCCGAGAACACCTTTGCCCGCTTCCTTCCCCATCAGATCTTCCGCTATCGCCTTCCCTTTATGTTTCGCCGCCGTGATATTGTCTTTCCCCATTTTTCCGCTGCCGTTGGAGGTCTCTGTGCGTTGGGGTGCTTGTTGTCCGGATCCTGCCGCCTGATCTGCGCCCTGTCTGATTTCCTTGTTTTTTCCTTTCCATGCTCTCCCTTGAGTTACTCCCTCCCCATGATCAGCGGATGAGTTTCCTTTTCCCATCTCCGAGTTTTTGCTACCCTTCCGCGATTTGCGCGAAACTACCATCCACGGTCCATACCCGACTTTCTCCTCCGGCGAACCTGTCTTCCCCGATTCCAGCGACTTTCCGAATTCCACCACTGCGAGTTGAGGCATAGCCGGTTTCAGGGAGGGGCATGTCTCCTTTGTATGCCCGATTTTGCCACACTCGAAGCAGATTACAGGCAAGTTTTCGTATTCTAGGTACTGCCACGCCCTGTCGAGCCAGATTCTAGTGACCAGGGGTTTGGATAAATCAACTTCCACCGCAATCCGGGCAAATTTTGCCCTCTGTTGATGCAGAGTGTGGTAATCGAGCTTAATGGTCCGCCCGATCATGTTCCCTACTTAGAACAGCACTTCCCTGTGATAGAAGTGCACCGGAAACGCTGGCAGCTGAACCCAAACTGTCATAGTGCTCGGTAATTTGTTGGAGAGACGGAATTCCGGAGTCCATTGCTGGACTAGGAGGTAGTGGTCAAAGATGGTCCAAGGACCTTCAGTGAGAGCCCGGAAGTAGTCCGCATCATTGCTGAGTTTCACCAGAAAGCACTCCTGGCCTAGGAACATGATTTCCATGGCACCTGTAGGACGCCATTGGGCACGTAACTTGCTGCTGAAAATAGTGAATGAGATCTGTAGTCCCAGGGTACGAACAACAAGAGATCGTTGCCACGGTCTGCTGAGCTTGGCTTTTAGATCAGCTGAAACTACAAGCTCTGGCTCACCATTGAAAAGGCCTTGGACAAGGTCCTTCTCGCCTACCGGTGTCCATGAGATCGCTTCCGAGGGGGCGCTCATCGTCTGTCCAGTGACCACGCTAGCGTAGGACAGAGGAGCTCTGTTCGCACTCCCTTCCGTAGGTTTCGCACTCGACGGAGCATCCACCGCCATAGTATCTTCACTGATTAGAACCTCCCTAGATGTCAAAGATGGGATCGGAGGGGCTGAGTTCGGATCTGGTGGGCGATCGGAAGGATTGAAGGTGATCGCCGGCGAAAAATTTTCACCGCTCATAGTCAGAGAGAATTTTTTTTCAGATCTCTTTCAAAATAATAATTGTATAGTTGAGTCAACCACCTGCTTACATACAACAGGCAGCAGGCAAAGCCAAGCTAGCAGCATTAAATAACTTGTACTTTATTGGCGCTTTTCTGCCCTTCCAAATTCCAAATATATCAACTTCTTCTTCTTTAATTTGTTGAGGGACAAGACTGAATGGTGGGATTTCATTCCATCTTTTGTGTGTAGATGAAAGACATTTATACAAGTGCTTTCTACCCATTACCCATTAGCTATACAAATTTCTATGCTTATCTTCTCCAACCTCTTTTTTGTTTTGTTTTTTTTTTTTGTAGGTTTAAAGAGACTATTTTATCTTTTTCTTAAAGGGATATTTCACCAACTCAGAAAATATTTTTGATATGGATTCTGGAGTAGTACGTTTCTTTTCATTTATTTTCCCCTTCTCACAATTTTGGTTACGTAACCGGAAACAAAAAAAAAATTCTCACTTTTTCTCATTCTCTGGTATTTATTATATACTTAAATCAAGAGTCGAAATTAGTGTTTACTAGGGACTCAAACATATATAACATATTTTGACTATGCTTTTGAAAGTGACTTGAGAGAGTTGGTTGATTTGAAATGGCCGGATTTTACAAATGAACAAACGTAAAAGATATGGTGTTTGGAAGTAAAGATTGATGGAACAGATACCATCTACAATATTATTTCAAATATGTCTTAAAAAGGTGAGATTTTGACTCTCTCATTTTGAAAGATTTCATATAAACTCCACATCTGAAATCATGCATTTTCTAGTTATTTGCATTAATCAATTATTGCGTTATAATACATCATTTTATGACAAACCCCATGTTTAGTTTGACAAAAATAAATCTAATAACGGGTACGTGACAATTGGAAAAGGAATACTAAATAACAAAGATTTTAGGGTTTTGGACGCTTTGAGTATCATTGAGGATTGGAGTTTGGAGAAGCCAGAAAAGCATCTCGTGATCACTGCATGAGACTGAATCGAGCATTTCCCGTGCCATACTTCGGAGTTCTCCATTTTAGCATTATGAAAACACAAAGAAGAGACTTTTGTGCGACGAGCATCTCCTAGGTTGAGCATGATCATTCCCCTAGCCGCGGCACTATATTGGTCTAAATGGGAGACTTTACATTAATGTTACGGTCACATTAGTCGAATTTTTCATCGGGATACGAGTTTACACTTGCCTTACTTTTATCACACTAGTGATTGAACACTCTCCTAATCCTTCCACTCTGGATTCCCTCATCGGGTACAACTCCAAAAGACAACAACTAGTATGGGTCGGCGAGCCACGGTTGGTGGCAGATGATGACTGTGTGAGCGAATGTCAGTGAGGATGGATGTGAGCGAAGAATTCAGTAAGTTCGAGCTTTTGTATACCGAATCCGTGTCTCTTGCAAAATCATACCTTCTGATTCCTACTCTCTCTATTTCTCCCAATGGAGTTATTTGTGACATCAATGGAATTTACTTTGATGCGGCGGCTAATGAGTTCTTCTGACTAACAACTAAAGTAAAAAAAATAGAGAATTGAGAAAGATGTTGTGAGGATGTAGAATCTTGATTTCTTGCCGACTTTGCACTTCAAACAAAATCTGGTGTCTTGGATGCTCCGCTTTCCTTGTACCTAAATAGCCAAACAACCCATTTCAACATGATCAATTGTCTTGATTTTTAAAATGAGACGTTCTATTTTAGTGTTAGAGAAATCTCATATGAACGATTTGGTCATGTCACATTAAACCAAAAATATTGAGCAACTCTAATGAGCACATGTATTTATTTTTCAATGGAAAGAATAAGAAAGGAGGAAAGTGTCCTCTAAATCATCCTCACTGGTCCTTAAAGGGTCAATAGTAACAAAAGCTCAATAGTCCAACATCTAAGAGGATATGGATCCTCTTTCAAAAAAATAAAACCAGATATGGATCCAAGTAGTGGTATACAACTTCTCATGCAAAAACAAAAGCTAAACCCAATCAACTATATCTAGTTTTATACATTTTTATTATGTAAAGGAAAATTTTGAAGAAAATGAAAATCTCCCAAAAATTTTGTGGCACATAGAAATCAAATCCCAACTCCCCCATTAGCTTTGCTTTCTTTCATTGTGTTGTCCCTTTATGGCCTTTCTTTTTTATCCAAAATTTGTGTGTTGTCCCTTTAACTTCTCTATAGATATTTTATTCATTTCCAAATCACTAAACTTCTGTGTTTCAGCTCAATCTCTTACCCTTCTGTGCATCAATACAGAAACAAACATGCCCTTATGCTATACCTCTCTTCAAACCGTTCTTTGAGGAATCCATTCACCCAAGTGAAGGTGAATCTCCACAATATGAGTACTTAACAAACTCTTATGAAAATGTTTGATTTAGATGGTGGTTCTCTTGAAACACTCTCTAACATTAGTACAGTAAGACGAGTTTTGAGTTTTGAGTTCTGAATTCATTCATTATTCCAGAATGTAGATGTCAAAAGATCAAAATTGATAAATCAACACACCTCTTCATACATGTACCTATACATCTACCAAACTCAATCGAATCTCATTAAAAAAGCATAAAGGGAATCACCTTACCAGTCACCACTAAATCACTCTCTAAGAGCTAAATCCATGTTCAAACACTAATCCCATCAAGTGCCCAAGTTTTATTATATTCCCATATACAGATTCTCAATCTCCCAAAGATCAAAAGAAGATTGCTTTAATCTTGAGCCACAAGGTACCAATAAATATATATTGTGCTGTGTTGCTAATTTATCCCCTCGCATTTATAATAGTAATCAACTTTTTCAGCTTTAATTTGTTGGATTTATTGATGGCACTCTTGCTTGTAGATCTACTTGTCTGAAAAATTGTGTTCTAGAAAAGTACATTAGTTTTGAAGAGGGGGCTAAAAGTTCAATTAAGAATATAGAATTTTCATCTAGGGGGGACCAATAATACCCTTTACTTTATCCTAATTACATTAATTAATTACTCACTAACTCTGGATTAATCCACCAAGTTGTATGTTAATGCTCAAAAGCTCATTGCTTGGGTTTTAAACAAATATTATTTACAAACTTGGGGATAAGGGTAGGAGTGAAAAAGCACTCAAATTCCAAGATCTTCTCAAGGATTGCCTGGCTGTTTTTGTTAATGCCCCAACATGTAGAAACCTTGGAGATTGCGAAATCTGTCACTTGCTAGCTATATAGATGCGCATGCCATTATTATTACCAAATACTAAAGTGCATGAGGGACTTGGATTCTTGGTACATCTTGTTTGTACTTTTGAGTGTTGTCCAGCATTCTGCAATATCATTTACACTTAATGAGTAAAGTGTAATGGAAGAACAGGTTCCAGATAGAGATGAGTAATCGCATCAACGAACTAATGTCTAAGCAGTACAAGATTTGGGACAAATTTGCAATTAGAAGGTAAAGGGAAGAGCACATTATCATTGTGGAGACTGGGGACACAACTAGTCAACATACCACCAATATGCCCCCGCATGAAAAAGGGTTGCTTTGCACATGATCGAGTAGATATCTATATATGTTTTTTTTAATCAAAATGGTTTCTTCGGATTGAAAGGGAATTGGAGAAAAGTACATTCATTTCATCCTCTATAATGAGACTTCATAGTCTAGTTCCCTTATACTCTAGCCTCTATATGAATGTCTAGTTGCATAAAAGGTGATAAACATATGATCATAAAGTGAGTTTCGTTATCACGAGGCAAGGATTGAATCACTGAGTAAATGGTTAAGAAATGATTTTCAATCAACACGTCATACCTCGTGCCCGAATATTTTATTACTTTAGAGAAGAAGGATTGGCGAAGACTGGCGGTCGATGCAAAAGATGATATAACTCATTAGCACTAAGTTGATCAACACAAAACTTTATATACTCATTAGTGAAATTGAACTAAAAGTTAGTTATGTCTAGCTTAGCATCCATATCAATCCCGGTGATTCGAAATGAAATTATTACAAGACCATATCATGAACTCATGTTGATTTTTATAATGGAAAGTGATTTCATTTTGGTCGAACTACGTACAACCTGAACAGTTTGTATTGATTGTGTCGAAATTATCTTTTGATTATAATCTAGACTCTTAAAGTGACCTAATCATTAATGATTCGTGACCAGAAGTGATCCAACACATAATCTCAAACCATAAGTTTGCTTTTGACTGATACACTTGCCATGTCTAAATTGATGGGGTTAGTAAAGAAGTTCACTAACTATTTTTTGGTGGTAAGTTAAGGGTAATTAAGAAGTTAAAACTAATGACTCACTCCACTCCACACATTTGTGGATTACAATAGCTCAACTACGCTCTCATCCCAACTGACCATAAGTTGAGTATGACTCAAAGAATTGTGGGATTAATGCACATCCCTGTAATTTACATTGAAAGGTCATTAACAAATTATAAACAACTTAGTATTACACATGCATCAAGAACTCCCCACCACTTGGTGTTAATCAAAACCTTCTGAGAGCCAAAGAAACAATTTAAATAAAACTAAAAAAAAAGGCAATTAAGCCAATGGTTTTTTGCACATAGGAAGCTTCGTCAGTCTTTCCTCTTCCCGTGTACTATGGCATATATATATGGGTCCCTAGAAGCATTACTTGCATACAAAATGGATTATTGAGATTTGATTTAGAATGGGGAATTCCCTTGGTCGTTGAAAGTGGGAGAAGACCCCACACTCTCTATTTTGATAAGAGATAGAACAACCCCATTAGTGATGGGGAACATCCAATTATGCATAAACAATCAATAAATTTAGGGTTTCTAACAGATCAGTCACTGAAAGTTTGATTTTTGAACGAATGTGTCACTGAAGATTAAAATAACTAATAGCATGATCATTGTACCTATCATCATCTAGTTTATCCCTGAATCCGTGTGATAACTTGTCTAAATCCTTAAGAAAAAAAGATAATTGTAAATAACCCTTTAATAAGTTATAGGGAAGGAGGATTGGGGCGGTCTTGAGTAGCATATAGATATGAAACTGGAGCGAGTATTTAGTTTTGTTTTGAATTTGGGTATGAGAAAAAGTAACCTTTCATGTAAGCTAATTAGGATCTTTGCATCGTTATCAATAATTTTGGAGTTGGCAAGACCGGATGAATGAGAGAATCCAGAGAAGTATTGATGAATAAAGTGATTATTATGTTAGCTATTTCAAACTTTGGTAACTATTAGATGTTGTGGCCGATCGGTTGATAGCTGTGAATCAAATGATCATCGATGTAATTCAAATATAAAAACACACATAGCACATGGAAAAACTTAAGTGGGGAATCTATATGGTTTGATCCTTTCACTAAACCAAATGAAAAATAAAAATAAAACACTCATAGTTAGCTAGTCAGTCAGCTACCTCCTTCCCCAATGTGGGCAATGCACACAACCCTAAAAGCCCCCTAAAATAGTGGCCTTTGGTGTCTCTCTTATCCATTTTATGTTTTCCCAAGTAGATGACATGTCAATTGGGCATTTTTCACTCTTGAGGGCAAAAAACCCTACAAATTAGACAAAATTGAAGGAGAAAATGACCACTCAACATATTAAAGTGACATTTCATCATCATAGTTATATCGCAAATAGTTGTGATATAATTATGAAATTAGGGAGTATCATTTGATATCGTGAAATAAAGACAATAAGAAAATTTGATGAAATAATTGACAAACATAACACTCTTTCTCGTATTCATATTTATTATCATTAATATCATACTTAAACAAACACTTGCATAAAACCTTTTGAACTCTCCAACTCCCCCTTCCAACAACACCAATGCACTATAGATAATAGAACACTAAAAAATGGAAATATGATTGATTAATTAATTAATCAATAAAAAATCCTCTCTCAAGTGGCAAGAAATTTCAAACCAACCTTTCTTCTTTCCCTTTCCCTATAAATACCACTCCCACAATTCTTCACTTAGAAAGTCAATCAAGCACTACTACTCCTAAAACCTCCTAAACCTTTCAATTAAGCCACAAGATTAATCAATAACCATGGCTTCCACCACTAATCACCTCTCCTCATCAATTCAATTCACCATAGCAAGAAGGTTCCTCCACTCCTCCCCGGCGCCGGCGGCGGAGCCGTACAACAGCACGACCGACAGCACGTTCGATGCGAACGTGGTGATGGTCCTCTCCGTCCTCCTCTGCGCCCTCATCTGCTCTCTCGGCCTCAACTCCATCATCCGCTGCGCCTTGCGCTGCTCCAACAACCTGGTCGCCGCCGACGATCAGTCCTCCGGCGCCGGCGCCACCAAACTTGCCAACACCGGGATCAAGAAGAAGGCGCTCAAGACCTTCCCCACGGTCAGCTTCTCCGACCAGCTGAACCTGCCCGGGCTCGACGCCGAGTGCGTCATCTGCCTGTCGGAGTTCGCCGCCGGCGACCGGGTCAAGATCCTGCCCAAGTGCAACCACGGCTTCCACGCCAAGTGCATCGACAGGTGGCTCGGTTCACACTCTTCCTGCCCAACCTGCCGCCACTGCCTCATCCAGACCTGCCAGAAAATCGTCGGTTTCTCCCCGCCGGCGACAGTTCCGGCGCCGGCTCCGTCTCCGGCGACTGTTGTGGTTGTGGCCGAGGGGGTTGATACCGGTTCCGCTTCTAGTCCTCCTTCTACTTCTCTTCCGCAGCCATCACCGGTGCCGGAAGCGGCGGCGCCGGCGGGAGCAGTCGTGATCAGCATGCCGCCGTTGGAACCAGAAGGTTTGGTACGAGGTTACAGAGGAGATAACTAAAAAGCCCAAATTCGTTGCTTTGGAGAAGCCTGAGATCGAACCAGGAGCTGCGGGACTACACGGAGTCCGAATTGGACTAAACAATGTGAAATCTCCATTAATGAAGCTCTGCTGGCGGAAGGAAGAAGAACAGAGCTGGAAAAGAGCTTCCTTTCACTTAAAAAGCCAAAACAGAGCGAAGAAGACAAAGCCAGGATGCGGCGTCGTTCCGCTAAAGTGGTGAGACTCCACAAGATGGAACGGCATCGCATAGCTGCAGTTGTAATTAGTTTAGATAATTAGCTAATGAATGCTATAGGTCACTTGATACAACGATGATTGGTTAGCTTGACTATTTAGTTAAGTGATTGTAAATGTAGATATATAATCTACAAAGCTCACATAGAGTGAAAGGACATATCAGGAATTTCCACAATCGTTTGACTGTCGCCTTTTACCTCTTTCAATTTTTCAAATCCTAGTTGGCACGACTGTTTCTCTGCGGATCAGAAAATGGGAGGATTCGACAATGTAGGAAAATGAAACACACGCACATGACACATGATTTACGTGGTTCACAAACACAATGTGTGTTAGCTAGTCCACAAGCAGGAGAGAGCCAGTTTCACTATACTTCGAGAATATACACGATTTAAGGTGCTTCTCCTAGGTCTAACCCTAATACAATATGGTAATGGACAAACGGTTACAATCAGGCCCAGAACACGAATCCAAATAACATTGAGCACATATACCGTGGGCCGGGGGCATTGCCCCTTGACCCCACTCGATGGCCAGGCAGCGAGACCCCCCGTCGTAGCGGCTAATAGTCTGAATCAAGTCACATCAACACTAGCATTCTCTGAATTAGGTTAAAACTTTCTCATTGTATCGGAGTTTGGTTGGCTACTGAATACCTTCCTCCCATCTAAATCTCCCTTCTCACTTTCTGATTCTCACACATGGCGACTGGGATCTGACGACACAAATCAAGAGATCGTTCTTCCTTGTTATGAAGACCCTTACAGTAACCGCTACTATTTGGCGCAGAGCGAATTTCTTTCCACAGATCATCGACTTCAAACTCAATAATGACTACTACATTATGTGGAGTGAGTTCATGGAGGATGCTCTTCACACACACCCAAAAAAAAAAAAGATGGATTTTATCCTAGGCATGATTTAGGTACCAGACATCTCTGATCCTAGTATGGAACATGGGATAGGGTGAATGAAACAGTTGTTTGTTGGATCTGAAACTCAATTTCTGATGATATTGTGCCTAGGCTAAGAAACATCAAAGTAGCATCTCTTAAGCTTGGAATTTAATCATGTCGAAGTTTAGTCAAGGTGGCTCTATTAGAATTGCTAATGTAGATGAGAAAATTGACATTGCAAAGCATTTAAATCAAACAATTAAGCAATATTATACCTTTTTAAAGTTGTTGTGGGATGAACATGATAGTTGTATGTCTATACCCTAACTGTGATTGTGCCTCTAGGGCTTAGGAAAACACCATTAAATATCGAGAACAAGGGAAAGTTATAATGAGAAATACCAACAAGTGAAAACCCATATGTTGATGGCTGAATCATGTCCTCATCTCTCAAAGGAAGATTGGTTTAATCCACATATATAGAGAATAGAGGGCTTGCCTACTTGGAGATATACCCAATGCCTGAAGAGAATTGGAAACCTCATGTGTTCTTTAGTGAACACCAAACAAAGCTAAGAGCTATGGCAATGCCAAACTATAACACCTATCATTGCAAATACAATAAGAAATTAAATAAAGAAGGAATGTAATATAATGAAGTAGTAGTTCCAGATTCCAGTGATCGTGAGGTTTGTTATATGGCTAAACAAAAACATATACCCTTTGATAAAAGTGAAACAATAGCTACAATAGTTATATAATTTGTTTCTATAAAAAAAAATTAGTTATGTCATTCGTATGGGTCAGACTGACGTACGTCAGCCGTATACTATACGTCAAGTACTGCTAGTGAGCTATCTATATCTAAATCATGAATTAAATCGAGTTTGGGGTATGATACTATACCATAACCTCTAACGGATAAACCCCAGACACCGATTTTCTAAACCCCAACCCGAAGTTTGATCTAATGGAGGATAATTTTAGTAGAAGTATATGGTTATTTTTTTTATTAATAAAAAAATCAGAAACTCGTTGATTGTTAGGTTGAGACTCTATTTGATAAAAGGATTAAATTCATCAAATCATATAAGGGACAAGATTTTTTAATATGCCTTCTGATGACACATTTCATGGCATGATTTACATGATTTCTGCATATTTATTTATATAGGAAAATGATAATTGCTTGATAATTTTTCAAAGATGTGTTTAGTAGTCTCTAGAGATGCCTTTATACTTTTGATGGCCTTTGGACAGTGTCTCGTGTGTTTTCACCCCCAAAACGCTCTAGTTCACCTTTCTGGAGTGGAGACATCAAGATCCAACTACTGAAAGGTTGGAGTCCAAGCCCATATATGGCATCCCATTTGGTAGACCACAAGCCAAAACTGTGCCAAAGGCTTCATCTCCAAAGATCCCGGATTAGCTCGTTTTGACTCGGTGATCATTTGCTTGGACGCTAAGCTGGAGACTTCGCAAAATCTCTCGAAAAACCCGATGGACACGACTATCAATTAAACAATACATCTTCACAGGGGTTACTCTGCGGAAGTGAACAAGATCGTACTAATTGAGGGTTGGATTTCAACAACATTCCATCAGGAGATTTGGGATAATTTGGGATAATCACAGACCAAAACTATAGCGTGATGTCTAGCTAGTAAATGCTCTGGAATTAAATACAATATATATTATATTATGGTCCAATCTCGATCACATATTGATGCAAAGGGACGTGGCACCAATTTTGGACACTGAATCACTGGCCAAATAGCCAGCGTGGAGTTGGGATATTAAACTAAAAAAACCTCAACCTCAATTTGTGATCAAGCAGCCATCAATCAAATGTGCAGTACTACTAGGATTTCCCGATAATCCCAGAGCCTTTTTTTTCTGAATGGGATTCAGTCTCAGCTTCCAGTAACCTTTGGCCTCAGCAATTTCCATTGGCTGAATTCTATACGTACAGTGCACATATGTGTATGTGTGAATCTGTATGTTATAACATGTGCTCGTGAATCCAAAGAGTGGTTGACTTCCTGATCTATGATGTTTTCCTTGAATTTCACATGTTGTAAGAATGAGGCCATTTATTCCACAAACCTCCCCTTTGACTTTCTCTATGATACTTGTCATATCAAAGTCCATAGAAAAGACTATGAGATTTCAGGTATTATGGTCAGTTCTGGTGGCGATGATACTTGTCCCATTGCAATGTTGGGATCTTTTGGCGCAGGTTACTCGAGTGGCGGGAGCTTGATCAGGGGGCCATGATGCATATTGTAGCCATTTTCTGACGCATTTGGAAGGCCCGTAATTGGCTGGTATTTGAGTTGACTCAGTACATTGTTCCGGTGTTGTTATCTCGATTTCGTTTGCAGGTTGCGGAGTGGGATGGCATACTTACCGGCCGAGGTGTTTATCGTTACTCGGGGGGCTCAGGTGTCAGAGGTCGTGAGGATGTTCCGTTGAGAGAGTTTGTGATGTTCGTGGATGGAGCTACGGCGCCTGGTTCACATGGAGCGGGAGGTTGGGCTCTTCAGGATCCCACGGGCATGGTGGTGGCAGCATCGGCAGCACTGTATGTGGGGATTTGGGAGTCGACTCTTGTGGAACTACTGGCCTTTCGGGATGCACTTCGATGGTGCTTGGCGTTTGGATTCCAGTCGATGATTTTTGGAGGTGACGCCCAAGTGACGTGGGGAAGATCCGGGATGGTGAGGTAGATGATGTCCATGGAGGAGATTCGAAGTATGCGTGAATTGTTTCAGGAGTTTCGGGTTATTTTTGTGGGTCGGGAGTCTAATAGGGTTGCCCATTTGGTGACAAGAAAAGTCATTTCGTTGTCCCCTTCTTTGGTGGGGTTCAATTTTGTTTCTTGGCTGTTTTCAACTATGTGACTATTTTGTATCTGGCTGTTTTCTCGGTAATACGAGCGATATTTTGACAAAAAAAAGATGTTTTGGTTCAGTCGACCTCCTCTAATAACACCTTTTTTCCTTTCCGTAATGAAAACGTGACCACATTCATTCAAAGATTCCAAAACACCAACACAGTTCTAATAAAATTCAATCAGTGTCATAATATTGTAGCTGAAATTGACATAATAAGTGTTTGCCGATGAAGAAATTGACATTTTGGGCTCTTTAGCTTTGCTTTTTTCTCTGAGAGTGTGGATAATAGTGACTAATGTTCTTCAACAGTGAATTGAAGAGGCAAAAGATTGCGTGATCTTTAATCTCTATCCCTTTTCGATAATTTGCCCCTTGGTGTTGTGATTAAGTCAAGTGTGCAGACAACATTTGCTTTGCTCTCGAGACTCAAGACACAATTTTCTAACAACAATACACTATTGGGGTATTCTCTAGTTTGGGGAATGAATCTCAAAATTTGGTAGAATGTTGAAACGGGTGACAACTTACAAATATAGGGAATGACTAAATATTGTTTGGAAGTGTGGCGAAGAAGTAGTATTTGTTTTCTATTTCGTGACAAGTCTCATTTTAATGGGAAAGAATTTTCTTGAGATCGAGGGGTGGTCGAGAAGGTAAACTGAAAATTCAACAAATAAAAAATTTTAATTATACCCATCTAAACGATAAAATCTTCTAAATTCTTTCACATAGCGAAGTTAAAAAAAACACCACTAAACTCTTTCATTCAGACAACACCTAAAAGAAACTAGGAAAATACACTATCTAGAATTTGTTGATACGGTCTTTTTTTTTTTTTTGCCAAAGATATCCCGAAAGGGAATACAGCAGATACGACATAATAAAAGGACCTTTACAGGTCAATTACAAAGAGGAATTAAGGAAGAGCCGCTGGTCGACCAACCGACGATCCAACGATGAGAGGGCTTTTTTCACCACGATATGGGCAGCCCTATTGTACTTACGCCGAGCGAAGTGGAACGATACACGCTGCATGGAGACACGAAGCACCTGGATCTCTGCGAGGAGGCTACCACCCAAAACATGGCTTGAATCCTTACGATTTATCATTTGAATGATCACCTGCGTGTCACCACAGAATGAGACATTAGAGATCGAATTAGAGAGACACCACCGGAGAGCATCCCGGAGGGCCAAGAGCTCAATGATGAATGTGTCAGCCATATAGTCGTAAAATTTCCCAAATGCAAAAAGAATAGTCGTTGGTCCTGAAAACCCAACGAAGCCAACTCCTCCCCCAATACTAGAATTTGTAGCGCCATCAAAATGGACGAAAACAGTCCCTGGCGAAATTGGTGGTGGGGTGTGACCGCGAATCCCAGGAGGAACAGAAGCACGACGATCAGTGGATGAAGCCATGGCTGCTTGAGTAGAGGACCATTCCTCTACTTGAGTTTGGAAATGTCGCACCATGGTGGATGGGAGGAATTGAACGTGATCATAAGTGGTAGAACACCGAGCCTTCCAAATGCGCCAGTACACAAAGACTAGCCAGCTGAGTACATCCTTGGATATACCTGCATGAAAAAAGAACCACCGCCAACCCACGGAAACATGCATATTGTAAACCTGTAAGCGCAAATGATTAAGACCAACAAGGTTTCAAAAGTCCACAGCCACCCGACAATGCATAAAAGAATGCAATAGGGTCTCTGGAGCTTCGTCACAAACAAGGCACTTAACCGCCTCCAAATCCTCATCATCAATTAGTTCTTTCTCTCTAAGGATATCTCTCAAGGGAAGATATCCTTTAATGATACGCCAGAGAAAAAAAAACGTAATTTAGGAGGAACATTCAAGGACCACAACAAATTCCAAGCCGAAGAATCAAAGATCGGGGGAATAGTGGAAGGGTTATGAATATAATCAGCAGAGGCCACTCTATATCCTGATTTAACAGTGAACTCACTTGATTTCTCATAGTGCCACATAAGACGATCGGACACTGGAAAAATAAGAAGAGGAATAGATCTGATAACTCTGATTGTTTCCCCATCAAATAGCGAGGTGATGAGAGGTACCTTCCAACTGCCGGAGCCATGATCGATCAAAGAAGATACATGGGGCCCAGGTAAAGAGACGTTGGGCAGGAGAACATGTCGAGATGGAGGAGTCGTGTTGATACGGTCTATTTAGACACATACAATGTAACATTTTTGTGGATAATTATAAGTCATAAAAAAATTCGATAAATATGGTACGTCGAGAGAAAAATGTCAACTGAAAATCATCAAATATATTCTAATATATTTGAATTAGCATTTCTTTTATGTTGCTCGCTTCCGATGCTATGTTGCTTATATAACAACAACCTTTTCTTGCCACGTTAGCAATATGTAATAACGATATATTTGACAAACTTGGTCATATACACATGATTTTCATTCTATTTTCAATTAACTCGAGAATTCGATTGAGATTAACCGTAACCATGTACAATTTGAACATGTTTCTACTTTTTACTACAAAAGTTTAAAAAAATTAAAACCTATCTATAGTAACGAATTGAACCTTTTAGACTTTAGCTATCTCCTCTGTAACCTCGTACCAATCCTTCCGGTTCCAACGGCGGCATGCTGATAACCACCGCTCCCGCCGGCGCCTCCGTCGCCACTGCTTCCGGAACCGGTGAAGGCTGCGGAAGAGAAGTATAAGTAGAAGGAGGACTAGAATCCGAA